AATTAAAGTTGTTCACCTGTTCCTTGGGCCATCCCGTGTACCAGGCGGGGGCGCCTCCTTGTACACCCTTTTCGACAAGGCTGTTTAGATCTTGCAACTGAAGGTCCTTGGTGGGATCAAAGGCATCGAGGACCGCCTTGGAATCATGGTTTGGGTAGCTAGCCTGGGTGGTGAGATAGCGGTAGCTCTTTTTGCGCACGGTGAAGTCCGTAATGGTCATGATGATGAGTGTTTACAGGTAGAAGAGCCGTGTGCTTTCCTAATCTTAATAACTATCTATTCCTAGACTTCAAATTCACTCTGTCAAATACAGAGCAGTCTTTTCAAAAGGAATGAGCTGCCACTGAGCTGCAGCTCATTCACCAACTTCTTTCACAACCTCTTTGGTACGTAGCTTTCCACTGTCCTGCTACTGTACCTTCTTTGCATACGTACTTGGGCGTTCCGATCAGTCCGTCCTGCCAACACCTGCAGTGTTCCAGAATTTTTTAAAATAGCTTCACGTTCTGTTTTTTGGCCTGGAGACAGACAGACGCAACACATTTATCATAATTATACGAACGCCCTTTTTTCTAAATGTTACATAACCACTAACACTACATTTCCGGGAATTATTTTCCCAAGACCAAACGGTTTTCGCGCCGTAGTTAGTCTACACGGGCCACGAATTTTGCGTGGTTTTCTTACGGCGCAACTCGTAGAAAGTGCGGACAACATAAAACTTTCTGGAATCGGTATTATATACTTATACCGATTAAATGTAGAGCTGCAGAATTGTGGTTCGGCTGTTTGCGTTCAGAGTCTAAGACCCTTCGCTCGTTTACGTGCGACCTACATACGGCGTGGGTCGACTGCAAGACGATGGCTGTAGTTTTTTTACACGGTACACGTACAGTACTGTACCTGGTACGGTTTGAGATAAGAGGACACCGATACATTATCGCTAGACGTCCAGCATCTCCAATACTGTAGTCCTAGTACAAAACATCACTCATTCAGGGTCACGCAATCAATGTCATTGTCGCCGTAACGAGGCACTGTTTACAATACGAGCATAACAAGTCTTGCTTGCTGTATCTATCTGTTGTAATTTAATTCCAGCTCGGCCTTTCTGTATATTCTCTGGATCACTGCAATCCACCGATGCCATTACCCGTTGCAGTTGGCGGCAGGGCGGTGTCAGCGGAGACTCTGCCGCGAGCCAATTGCCGAGAAGAAGACTCGGACGATGGAATCCCTCTCATGCCAGTTGAGCTGTATCAAACGATTGGATGGGGTGTCTGCCCACAAAATGAATGGCTAGTCAGGGTCACTACTGGATACTACGATTTGATGGATTTCAACAAGGGAGGGAGAGACTGCACCATGTGTGAACTCAGAATACAAGTCTCACTGTTGGCCAAACCACTCTCAAAACAGTATAGAGAAACGGTGCATCATTTGAAGCTCGTAGACGGTGCAAGCGATGATTACCCACAATTCCAACCGCAAATTGCTGTCTCACAGGATCGCAGGAACTTAGCTGTTTTGCTCTTTCATCCACATCAACAGTCCTCTGCAGTCGTTATTTTTCAACTAAGAAAGCCACGTTCGGATTTGACACCCAAAACCAGCACGACAAATTCAACAACTCCGATGCCAATGCCCGCCTACTGCAACAAGATTTCTTACAAGAGGCAAGCACCTGCTGTAGCCACCAATCCAAATATTGTTTCGGTATGGGGCATTTCAGCAATATGCAGCATTCCAAATGTTTTGCCTTCTGTCTTTCTCGCTGCATGCAATGATGGAAGCCTCATCTGGCTAGATGCAAGGTCGTCCACCACAATCGCAACTGGAACCCTAGCGATCTCGTCCAAACAATTGCCGATATCATCTCTCAGTGTCTCGGCTAAAAGATTAGAAAGAGGCTGCCTCCTTGCAGTATCATCGGCAACTGGGCACTGCATTCTGGCTCAGTGGAAGCTTGAATCTGGAACCGCTGTGCAACTTACCAAACTAGAGCGAAACAGTACCGGAGACTTGATGGTTCGATCACAACTGTCTGCAAAGCAAGTTGAACACCACCAGGACTGTCAAGATGATCAGAAGCAAAATCACGATTTAGCGGAATCATATAATCCTGAGGATACCAGCACCCAAGGTGCCTCTGCCACGAAGCGAAACGCCACCACCCATCACACTTCTTCGGACAACAGCGAGAAGAGCAAAGAGGAAAATCATCGAGCATTATCCAGTCGGTCATCGACAAACAAAGAGCAACATGATGGTATTCAAAATGCATTGAAGGGATTGAAAAGCAATCGTTTCTGGAGTGGTATTGCACCGAAAAATCTCAGCACACTTGCCAGCAACAGTACCAATAGCAAAGCGAACAACACAAAAAACTGCCATAGCACCACAAATGCACAACTTATCAACTGGAAATCTGCATTTTATCAAAAGGACAATTCCCCAGAACAGAATACCAAAGAAGGGGTCCCGCCAGAACATGAAAAGGAGACAACTGAACGGGAAGCGAGACGGCAGAAGAACCACATGAACCAGTTCGTCTTGCAGGAGCTTCGTAAGAGGACAACGGCAGCAAGCTGGGTGAAACATTCAACCGGTAGAAGAGCAGGGCCTCGAACGAGTTTGCAACGACGACGGCGTAGGTCAGATGTTGCAGGCCAGCAAGAGGACCCTCTAAGGAGCATAATGAATGTGGGTTTGCTGTCAGTTCTCGAACAACAAGTTGTTGCAGCTCGATTTGGAACGATTCCTACAGTCATTTGCGTAGTCTATCAGGCTGCACGAAAGCACCCACAAGTGGCGCAGATGTTCAGCATTTCTGAAATTGGAACCTTGCAGCCGATTGTATCTCTCCTTCTTACTTCGGAGCAGGTAGAAGAAGCCACGAGCCTTCAGTCGACCAACGCAATTGTCTCTGATGAGGATTGGGACGTCAAGAATTCGATTAATACAAAATTTGGACTAGACCTTCATGTTGAATCTGATACTTTTGCAATAAGTACAGCTGTGGGGGATCAATGGATTGGCTGTGTTTGGAATTGGAGAACAAACGCAATAGGCTTGGTTGTTCAGAATGAAGCGAACTTATCTCTGTGGTCTCGATTGTATTTTGGAAAGGAGAAACAGACAGGGCTCAAACTATGCTACTTGGAAACGTGCATTCAAGATCTTCGAATTCAAACTCACAAACATCTTATCACTGCTGGAGTGCTTTCACCGCCCAACTCTCGAGCGATTCAATTAGAGTCATGTCCGCTTTTCTTAGCAGCAGACTTTGTTGCATTTCCATATTTGTCTCATGAAATTAACAATGGAACGCAACAGCTTGCATGGAAATCTTCGACCCTGCCACTGTCATACATTAATGCTTATGGAGCTCCAAAATTTGCGGCTGTTGGGAGGCAAAATAGTGCAACAATCGCGATTGCCTCGTCGTCTGGGGTGTGCTTGCTGGACAACAAATATCGCTGGAAACAGTTTGGCACGCCAATTGAAGAAAGCTCTTTCTCGATTGTCTCGATGGAATGGTGGGAAGGAAATGGCACGAAAAAGTCGGAAGAGAACGAAGACCTCCTCGTTACAATAATTGAATTGAGAAGTGGAAAGCAGTACCTCTCATGTTGGTCACCAAAGAGGTAAGATCGGTCGTGTGCCGTGAAAGTGTGTGCCCAGTTTACCGCTGACCACACAATCTATAGACTTGGCACAAGCCATCAGCTCCTTGTATCGGCATCTCCAGATACAGGTACCGAGACCAAATGGGGCATCCCGTTGGCAGAGGATGTAAAGGTGTCATCATTGATGCTACTTGCAGAGCCTTCTTCAAAAAGCGATGGAGCGCAACAAGCAAGGAAGGCAGTGGTGTTTGTGGCTTCGACAGATCCCGAAGCATCTGAATTAGTTTATTCCAGTTTTCAGCTGCAGCTAACCACACTTGTCAAAGGCAGGTCTGAGAAAAGAACCAATTCAGTACTGACCAGTAAAACAATTTCTGGCATCCTCAAGGATGGCACAAGATCTATTGGACCGATATCTTCTATTTTCCTTGCTGGTGCATCGTTTCGCTTTGATCTCCAAGATCGATGTAAGACCAGAATGAACAATCTGACTTTGGCCAGCTTTTCTCACCAGTATCTCGTATTTGCTCAGGTACATCAACATTGGCAAGCTCTCTTGTAGCCACCGTTGGTGTAGTCCGCTCGCCTGGAGGCCTGGAGGTAATATCATATGATGCTAGGAATACAGCATGCCAGTCTACACTCGTCCATGCCAATGAACTATCAAAGATTTCACTAGTAGATGTTGTCCATGGGGTTAATCGTCTTGTCGATACTTTCGTGTGGGCGATTGAGCTTCTAAATGGTGAAATATTCTGCTGGTCGGTTCCATCTCTTCTAGGTGCTGCAATCGACGAAACACTTGATTTTTATTCAGTACCCATTGGAGATGATACTTTAAATCCAAGTGTACTGCACCCACCTGTGCGTGTTTGCAAACGCGATCGCCGAAACAAATTGATGCGATATGCAATGGGCAATCTTTCTCATGCTGGATCATCTTCAGATTGGATGCAGCGATCTGCAGTTGGTTGCCAGTCCGATATTTTTGTCGGACCAATTCCCCATTCATCTTACGGTTGCGGGCTCAGTGCAGGGCAACGTTGTAGGAAATATCGCAGGGCTTGTTTATATGGTACTTCTGATGACAGTTATGCAGTCGATATAAGTGTTTCAGAATCGTACGGTCCCAGTAACTTCATGATAACCCCTCCTGCATTTGTACCATCCCTCTTTTCAATGCATGTTGAGACAGCATATCGACGTATTCGGATGGCTCAACCTGGTGACTCCAACATGTGTCAAGAGTTGAAAGAAGATAGAGCAAGAATATTGGTAAGTTCGAAAAGGGAAAATTGCAGTTGTGAGACTTTGTGGAGTTCAAGTCTAACAATCTTCCGCTTCAAAGAGCATTGAGCGACACATACATAACCGGATGACAACCATTCAAAACAAGGACGCTGTGACCATGACACTAAGACTTTTTGTTCTGCGTACTGTTGAGATGGTCGCAGACTTGCACAAGAGACACGGAAAAGCACCAACAGATGCATCCCAAGCTTTTCTTTTGGTAGCAACTACTGTTCTTTCTGAAGTTATTGAGTCTGTTCGAAGATTTGCTACTGATCTGCAGTTTGCTTCCCTCTTCCTTGAGGTTGGGAGGCAAATGGAACCCAGCTGTCTCCCCCATTTATTTCCACCCCCACCATCAGAAAGATCAGCTTCTGCGAGCCAGTCAAGTCTTCAAGCTGCTATGTCTGTCGCAGATTTGTTTGGCATCTGTTTGCAAAACGGCTCTCTAATGGCATCTGCGTCTGCACTACCACTGCTTGGGAGCAGGGTGCAATCTCGAGTCAGTTGTCTACTCCTGATGACACGTGCAATAACTTCCTTTATTGCCAACACTTCATCAAATGACACCAGATTCGATAGTACTGAAGAAGAACGAAGCGTCATGGGTGACATATTCCGGTTTGGGATCAAATTGGAGGATGCTGCAAGGCTTGAACCGGATATTGAAGAGGACAAGGGAGACGAAGAAGCTGGCGACCAAAGAGCTTTCCACCCCATTCCAAATGAAAAGCCAGATGATGATTCCAAATCGATACTATCAGAAAACACTTCCAACTCATCGGCATCAGATTTTTCTGATGATTCGTCTTCCATGACAGATACGCGGCAGCTGCTTTGCTCTACAGAAAGGCAGAATCGTGTGATGAATGTCTTTTCAATGTTTGACCACAAAAGCCGCGAGGAACACGAGATTAGAAAATCGGCCTTGAGTTTCATTGGAGTGACCATGGAATCAGAAGCCGACTTTATCAGCATTGACCAGGGCGGTATCAGAAATGGAGAAGAATCACATAAGGACATGGACACTAATATCATGTGTGAATTGGTTGGGAATTCATTGGTTGAACTCATTCTATCCCCTCAAACGGACTGTCCTTGGAAAGCGATGGCTTCTCTTGCACGGATATTGGCCCAAGATGATGATGACGATGGTGTTGCTATTTTCAGCAAGGTAGCGGACAGTCTTGGGAGCACAGAAATCGATGCTATGATACCAGACCTGCATCCTGATCTCCGTGCAGGCGATGTGATGGATAGGTTAACAGAGTTTCTTGTCACTGAAACAGGTCATTGTGGAACAGAGATTACTGTCGAAGATGCCAATCTAATTGTGAACCTTGTATTACGACTGCTTCAATTTCTGGAAGGGGGACACCTCCCTATAGAGGAACGCTCGATTCTTCCTGGTTTGGTCGTGGTAGGGCTAGTGGCCTCATCTGTGGCCGGCCGTGAACAACAGCTTTTATCCACTCTGCGTGAAGATTGTTTTGTCAGTGAATGCTACAAAGTAATAGCTTATGATTGCTGAGTTACTATTTCATTTTTTATTTTTTTCCCTTGCACTATGTTTGCCACATCAAATGTCTACTGCAGGTGTTGGCTAGCGAAGGACGGACTGATCAGAACGACCAAGTACGTATGCAAAAAAGGTACAGTAGCAGGACAGTGGAAAGCTACGTACCAAAGACGTTGTGAAAAAAGTTGGTGAACAAGCTGCAGCTCAGTTGCAGCTCATTCCTTTTGAAAAGACTGCTCTGTATTTGACAGAGTGAATTTGAAGTCTAGGAATAGATAGTTGTTAAGATTACCCTAGTCCCACCTCACCCTTGGAGGAAACCAGCGCAGTAGGGGATGTCTTTGCTCCTTGTGCGCGATAGTACAAAATCTGTTTTCAGGATGGAGAGTAGGTACATTCAATTTGCCCGGAACCCAAATGCATTTCTCAAAGTTCTGGAACGCACCACAACGTGCAACAAACGCAATTTAAATGTCCGTTAATTGTTAAAAGTGCTTTTTTGTTGTTGAAAACGTTAAGTGTCCGTTTCAATTTTAGCACGGGCGGACTGTGGAAATCGGGCATGCCCCGTGCGTCAATTTGACGCAAAAACGGGCACGCCCCGCAACGCACGAAACTGCGTCAAATTGACGCAAGTTGCGTCAACCCCGTGTCAAACTCAAGAAATTGCGTCAATCCCGCGTCAAATAGATGCAGTTGTGTCAATCCCGCGTCAAACTCAAGGGAGGTCAGAAACACAATGTTATAAGAGCACAGTACAGGCTCTGACATCAGCTACGTCATTTTGCTATGGGCTACAGCTCTGGATTTGTTTCTCAGAAGTACTTGGCTTCATATCCCAAAATTTCACAGTTCCAAGCTCGGCTAAACCAATTTGGATTGATACCAGCAAGACAGCACCCAAGCGCATGCTCATCATAGGTATGGATCCAAATACCTTGCAATGATTGGAGCTTTTTCATCTTGCAAAAGACACATACTACCTCGTTCTTTGGTGTTCAACAAGAATTCTGGATGCAATAAGTTTCTAAACAATTGAGACAAGGAGAGCAGAAAGATCCTGAAAGGAATGGGAGACATTGCCAGATCCCTGGCCAAGTATGCCTATGAAAGAAAGATCAGACCCAATATTGCCAAATCGGTTCTCAAATATGTTTTCTACAAGATTTTTGAGCAGTACTATATCTGGGGGATTCCGTTGATGAGCAAGACAGTGATATCTGTTGGTGAATTTCATCAAGGGCTTCAAACTCATTGATAAGGTCGTTGTGTCTTGCTTGGACAATAGCATCATTGCCATTATGTGCCCAAGCTTTGTCGATTTCCATCAGTTCCATTATTCAAGAAATGGGCAACTCTCATTGGAATGAGAGTGGGAACTCAAACTCTCATTCATTCACATACTCCAATCTTTTTGAAACTGGGTTTAGTCCCGCGTTAAATTGACGCAACCTGCGTCAGTTGACGCGGATTCAGCGTTAAACTGACGCTACTCTGCGTCAAACTGACGCAACTCCACGTCAAACTAACGCAACTCGTGTCATTCCTGCGTCAAAAGAAACATCCGCGTCAAAGTTGCAGAGCATTTTAACGGACACATAAAAATTATTTAGCTTAAAAACAAATTCTTAACGGTCCGTCCGCCACTCAGCCCTACAAAAAAGTGCATGATTTGGGGAGGCCAGAACTGTACCTTATTTGATATCAGTAGAATACAAATTTAACCCATATAAAACTTCTAGCTTAGATCCTTAGCTTTAATCCTGTCCAGGCCGCATTGAAAAAGAACACTTTGCTCGTGAGTTATAGCCTTCTAAGCTCCGGGGTGCTTTGGGGCGCTAACCGACAATCTTGGTAACCAGCAGGAGCCGAGAACTCATCAAGGAATGCTCCAATAAAGTTACAAACCAAGCTATTGGTTATTAATAAGTCGTAAGGGACCGTGGTATACTCACATGACCCCCAGAACGCTCGATAGTATCTCGCCAGAGGCTGGTTGTTGGCTATTATTTGCATTTCATTTCGAAAATCCATTGTTTCACAGCCAATCCAAACACCAGACATGGAACCTGGTCTCTCCAAAACAAAAATATTGGGTGTCTGTGAGATCGCCTGTCTCTTCGGGGCACTATAGCCATAGATTAATCAGAGCATCATCAACCGATGATAGCACCGCCGCAGGACCACCGCATTCAACCTAGTAGAGCAGCTTGACCATTCATTCCACTTCATATATTCACAAATAAAGGTCACTGTGCTATTAGATACGCACACATAGTCTGTACACAGTAACGTACAGGATCGGTGATGGACCACACACATCATCACAACTTTCTAGATTTCCTTTCACGAACGTCTATCAACTTTCCTTTACTTTTATCATCCTCCTAGTAAGTCTATCGCTACACGACCTATTTTACATTGTTTATCACGACCCAATAGCTATGAAAGAAAAAGCCTTTCAATGAAATGCATTCAAATGAACAAATTATGAATACGAATACTGCAATATTTTTTAATATGTGCAAAGCCAATTTTGATCGTGTCAATGGTGCTACATCACTGGTTTCGACCATGTAAAACTGTCAAAGGTGTAACGAATGCAACACCAATACGAACAAACTAACTAAGGAATCACTTTTATAGGCAAAATGGCCGCCGCAATTCCTGTTTTTACGATCTATGATGCCATGATTTTATGTCAAATCCCTGACACTGGTAATTTCCAAGGACAAACTGACGCTCAACGTATGGCAGAAGAGCTCTTTGACAACGATTTTGGCACTGCCATGACCAAGTCAATCAAGCAGGTCAACATGGACCTTGCAACGCTTGCATCCTTGACCGCTGTACAAGGACGAATTGCATTTGTACAGTGGGTTCGCGATGAAATTCGGATGGGCAGAAACCCTGCACAACACCCTTTTCCAGCTGGAGATACATCTACTCTGCTGCAGCGATTGAACTTCCATCAAAAGTATGTCAAAGATTCTAAAACTTTAATTGACAATACGGTTCCACCCAAGTGGAGCAAAGAACAACAATGGAAGCAATGGGTCAAGCTGCTCCGTGACCACCTCCGCGCATATATCGGTGTCAATGGCATCCCTCTTGTTTATGTGGTCCGCGAGAATGCAGCTCAAGACCCAACACCACAAGACGATTTTCTTGACGAATACATCAATATGGCTCTACTTGTTGGAACCGCCTTTATTGTGGATAACAAACAAGTGTTGGCTCTACTGAACAAATTTATCATGGGTTGTTCTGAAGCTGAAATGGTGATACAAGCGCTCAATACTACTACTGATGGTAGAGCTGCTTTCTTTGCATTGAAGGCATTTTATGAAGGTGAAGGCATTTTCGCTCATGATGTCATGGAAACAAGAAGACTCGTAGATTGCATACCGGCTATGTCATCTTCTTGAATAGGGCGCCTATTGTTTGGCACAGCCGGAGGCAGAATACAGTGGAGGCCAGCACTTTTGGGGCTGAATTCATTGCTCTGAAATCATGTATCAAAGCAATTACGCACTTACGCTACAAGTTGCGTATGTTTGGGATCCCACTGGATGAGGAACCAACACAAGTGTTAGTGGACAATGAAGCGGTTGTTAAAAACTTGTCACTGGTAGAATCTACGTTGAACAAAAAGCACAATTCAATTGCTTATCATTATGCACGTTGGAATGTGGCAGCTTGGGTGATTGCAGTTTCATGGATTGATGGTGCAATCAATATTGCAGATGCATTTACAAAGCAATTAACACAGATGAAGAGAGAAAACCTTTTTGGTTCATGGGTTTATTGAGCAACCTATGGATCACATTGATCCTTAGCTTGAGGGGACCAAATAAAGGTCACCGTGCTATTAGATACGCACGCATAGTCTGTACGCAGTAACGTACAGAATCGGTGATGGACCACACACATCATCACAACTTTCTAGATTTCCTTTTACAAACGTCTATCAACTTTCCTTTACTTTTATCATCCTCCTAGTAAGTCTATCGCTACACAACATATTTTACATTGTTTATCACGACCCAATAGCTATGAAAGCAAAAGCTATTCAATGAAATGCATTCAAATGAACGAATTATGAATACGGATACTGCAATATTTTTTAATATGTGCAAAGCCGATTTTGATCGTGTCAATGGTGCTACATCACTGGTTTCGACCATGTAAAACTCACAAAGGTGTAACGAATGCAACGCCAATACGAACAAACTAACTAAGGAATCACTTTTATAGGCAAAATGGCCGCCGCAATTCCTGTTTTTACGATCTATGATGCCATGATTTTATGTCAAATCCCTGACACTGGTAATTTCCAAGGACAAACTGACGCTCAACGTATGGCAGAAGAGCTCTTTGACAACGATTTTGGCACTGCCATGACCAAGTCAATCAAGCAGGTCAACATGGACCTTGCAACGCTTGCATCCTTGACCGCTGTACAAGGACGAATTGCATTTGTACAGTGGGTTCGCGATGAAATTCGGATGGGCAGAAACCCTGCACAACACCCTTTTCCAGCTGGAGATACATCTACTCTGCTGCAGCGATTGAACTTCCATCAAAAGTATGTCAAAGATTCTAAAACTTTAATTGACAATACGGTTCCACCCAAGTGGAGCAAAGAACAACAATGGAAGCAATGGGTCAAGCTGCTCCGTGACCACCTCCGCGCATATATCGGTGTCAATGGCATCCCTCTTGTTTATGTGGTCCGCGAGAATGCAGCTCAAGACCCAACACCACAAGACGATTTTCTTGACAAATATATCAATATGGCTCTACTTGTTGGAACCGCCTTTATTGTGGATAACAAACAAGTGTTGGCTCTACTGAACAAATTTATCATGGGTTGTTCTGAAGCTGAAATGGTAATACAAGCGCTCAATACTACTACTGATGGTAGAGCTGCTTTCTTCGCATTGAAGGCATTTTATGAAGGTGAAGGCATTTTCGCTCATGATGTCATGGCGGCGGTATTATCGATTAATCATCAAACACGGTATCCCTGAGCGCCTTTGGGACTTTGTCTTGGACTACGTGGTTGACACAATGAATGTTACTGTCAATTATTCAAAGTACTCTGATGGTCGGGTACCTTTAGAAATTATAACTGGAATCACGCCAGAAATCACTGAATATCTGGATTTCACGATATATGGTTGGGTGTTCTTTCGCAGCAATGGCGGCTTGGGCGTCAATCACATTGGACAATGGCTTGGAGTTTCGCACCGTGTGGGACCCATGATGACATATTGGGTTCTCCCAAAGAGCGGTATCCCCATTTCTGTGGATACTGTCCAAATGGTAACCAACGCTGAACAGCAAACTGATTCCGTCAAACAGTAGATGCAACGTTGGACAGCTGATGTCTCTAAGATAGTTGACGCTAAATCTACTTACATCAACTGGGGGAAGGAAGACGTTCCTCATCAAATGATGTTCGACTTTGACGACGAGAATGACGAATTTATGCGCAATTTTGGTATGCTCATCAACCCAGAGACGCTGGAAGATGGCGACTTTGAGGGGACTGAAGAAGCTGCAGATGACCTTGATGCCCAAGATTACACCAACATGGAGATTGGTTTACAACGAGGCGCAGAAGGCAAACTCCAAAGGGCAAAGGTGAAACGACGGATAGTGGATGAAAATGGAAGACCAATTGGCGTCGCTAGCTCCAACCAATTGCTTGACACAAGACAATATGAAGTGGAGTATGCAGATGGCGGTACTGAAATATTCGCAGCCAATATGCTTGCTGAGAATTTGCTTGCACAGGTTGACGAACACGGACACAAGCACCGACTGATGGAGGAGATTTCGAACCACCGTAAAAATGCTAAGGCAATCACAAAGAGTGCGGGATCGATGCTCCTCCCTAGTGGACGGACTCGAAAGCGCCAAACAACTGCTGGCTGGGAACTTCATGTGATCTGGAAGTACAGATCATCCAATTGGGTAACACTGAATGACATGAAAGAATCCTTTCCCCTTGAGGTTGCAGATTATGCCAACTTAAAGGCTATTGAAGATGAACCAGCATTTGCATGGCGGGTCCCACATGTACACAAAAAGCGTGATCGTTTTATAAGCAAGGTCAAATCAAAGTATTGGGAACGGACCCACAAATACGGTATCCGCATCCCAAAATCTGTCAAGGAGGCTATTCAAATTGATCGAGAAAATGGTGATACCTTGTGGCAAGATGCCATCAAAATGGAAATGAAAAACAATCGAGTTGCCTTTGAGGAATTTGGCGGGGACATCAAAAAGCTAATTGGATACAAACGCATCACTGGTCACATGGTATTTGATGTCAAACTTGGTGAAAACTTCCGACAAAAGGCTCAATATTGCGCTGATGGACACAAAACAGAAGCGCCAGCGGCACTGACATACAGCACTGTGGTAGCCCGAGATTATGTGCGAATATTACTCACCATTGCAGCATTGAATGGTTTGGATGTCCAGTGCGCTGACATTCAAAATGCTTTCCTCACCGCACCAAATCTTGAAAAGTGTTACATGATTGGGGGCCCTGAATTTGGAGACGAGGAGGGCAAAACATTCATTGTTAGGCGAGCATTATATGGTTTGAAATCTGCTGCGTTAGCATTCAGGTCCCACCTTGCAGAGACATTAGAGAACTTGGGATTTTACTCATCATATGCTGATCCCGATGTTTGGATGCAAGCAGCTATCAAACCAGACGGGGAAGAATACTACGAATATATTTTGTGCTATGTTGATGACATCTTGTGCATGTCTGAAAACGCTAAAGATGTTATGGAACAGATAAGCTACAAATTCAAGTTCAAGAAAGACAAGATTGAACAGCCTGAAAGCTACCTTGGAGCGGTTGTCAAAAGAAAGGTTTTAGACGGTCAGCACATGTGGACTATGTCCAGTTATGACTATGTTACAGCTGCTGTGAAGAATGTCAAAGCAACCCTGAAAGACAATCAGAGGTGAAACTTACCAAAGAAAGCCGTCACTCCAATGAATAGCGATTACACACCAGAGCTAGACGGTTCAAGTGAGTTAAACGCACATGACCACACATACTTTCAAGAATTGATTGGGGTCTTAAGGTGAGCCACGGAGATCGGACGCGTTGATATTCTACTGGAAGTTTTTCTTTTGAGTCAATACCAGGCAGGGCCAAGGGAAGGACACATGGAACAATTGTTGCGGATTTTTGCCTACTTGGATCAACACCCAAAGATGACCCTATACTTTGATTGGAGAATCCCAAACGCAGATTTTTCCGGAGTCAAGTCATCGTACAAAGAGTTCCGTACTCTATACAGAGATGCTGAGGAACAATTGCCATCGAACATGCCAAAACCAAGAGGTAGGTGAGTGGGAAGCTTGGCATACGTTGATGCCTCACATGCAGCGAACAAGAAGACTTGTAGATCGCATACCGGCTATGTCATCTTCTTGAATAGGGCGCCTACTGTTTGGCACAGCCGGAGGCAGAATACAGTGGAGGCCAGCACTTTTGGGGCTGAATTCATTGCTCTGTAATCATGTATTGAAGCAATTACGCACTTACGCTACAAGTTGCGTATGTTTGGGATCCCACTGGATGAGGAACCAACACAGGTATTGGTGGACAATGAAGCGGTTGTTAAAAACTCGTCACTGGTAGAATCTACGTTGAACAAAAAGCACAATTCAATTGCTTATCATTATGCACGTTGGAATGTGGCAGCTCAGGTGATTGCAGTTTCATGGATTGATGGTGCAATCAATATTGCAGATGCATTTACAAAGAGATTAACACAGATGAGGAGAGAAAACCTTTTTGGTTCTTCTTGGGTTTATTGAGCAACCTATGGATCACATTGATCCTTAGGTTGAGGGGACCAAATAAAGGTCACCGTGCTATTAGATACGCACGCATAGTCTGTACGCAGTAACGTACAGGATCGGTGATGGACCACACACATCATCACAACTTTCTAGATTTCCTTTTACAAACGTCTATCAACTTTCCTTTACTTTTATCATCCTCCTAGTAAGTATATTGCTACACGACGTATTTTACATTTTCATTCAACGACAATGTCTCTTCAATCCAACAGTGATGGATCGGCATTGTACAATTGAAACACTGTAGAAAGGACAAAGCAAGCAAGTAGTTAGACCGCACACTAATGCACTATTTGATGGACGAAGAGAGTACGTTGAGTTTGACAGATGAAGGCGTTGCTCCTCGTCGTCCTTGCGGATGTATTGTACTTGACAAACGCAAAATCATTCTCTTGGGTAGCCTCATTGCAATTCTCATGATCGACAATCAGGTGAAATTTATGACGATCGATGATGATGAGTATTTTTTTGATTTTTGTGTCAGTCTGCCCCCAGTCGTGTCGAAGGGAGTGTCTGCCATGCGTGCAGTACAAAGGATAATCTGTCCCAAAGCACCCCGGAGCTTAGAAGGCTATAACTCACGAGCAAAGTGTTCTTTTTTAATGCGACCTGGACAAGATTAAAGCTAAGGATCTAAGCTAGAAGCTTTATATGGGTTAAATTTTTATTCTACTGATATCAAATAAGGTACAGTTCTGGCCTCCCCAAATCATGCACTTTTTTGTAGGGCTGAGTGGCGGATGGACCGTTAAAACAATCCAAACGAGCGCCACAAAAATTCCATACTGAATCCTGCGGGAGTTTGGTACGTGGGTTTTGTACCGGCCTTTCTGGATTGCATAACATCCAGTAAAGTTTTGGGAAATTTGAGTTTTCGTGCAAGGCTTTTGCTTTGCCCATTCCATGTAGATAACAAGTCTTTTAGAATAGTTATTTCCTGTAGAGATGATTATTTCCTATTAGACGGATCGGAGATCGCTATGGTTAGTGCCTATGCATGACGACTTGATGGGTCGCATGCTGGCACGGCTGGTTGGCAATCATGGCTTGATGGGCCACAACGTTGTCAATCGGTTTGGACGAAGACAAGCAGTCTGATGTCCGCCAGAACCGATTTCCAACACAGAGATCTCGGACACTGGATCAGCAGTAGAGTCAATTCCCGAAGTTGAGTCCTCCGCAAACATGGTCCACTTGACCGACAGGCACTGTCGCCTGACCTGCAAAATTACAGATATCCATGGTGAGAAGCATCTCTGTGTCTGTGGAGCACTAGCGAACCTTTGCGGTAGACACTACAAGAAGCGAATCAATCCTACAGGGAAGCACCAACAGGAAGTTGCTTGGTACCAGGCAGTTCATCCAAAAAGGGGTGACACAGTGTACGGGAAGGCCGGCTTTGCATTATCCGACAGAGACATGGAACTACGAAAGTTAGACGAGCGTGACCAGATGACTGCCGCTTTGTAGTTTGTCCAGAACAGTGGAAAGGCGCACCGGGAAAGTCTGGAACTCAGTGCTCTCAAAGAATCCAGGACGGAGGATCCCACCAAGAATCTGCAAGTTACCTTCGATCAGCTTGAAGTCCGAGCTGGTCCACCCGCAACAGATGCTAATGGACCCCCCCTACCGCCACCACAGCCTTCAACTAAGAACTTCTACGGCTTCCTAGATGCCGCCGACAACAGATACAAGGCTTCCAGCATTGACGAAGCTACCGAATACTTTAAGATGGGTTTGGCAATGGACCGCAAGTTCGATAATGAACGAGAGTGTGATCTGTGGGTGGCAAGCGGCGGCTCTCCAACGATGGAAGAAACAGAACTCCCCCGGCGCGGCTCCAGGAAACCCAACTAAGTCTCCACTTGGAGCCACCACTCCTAAATGAGGCAACCTTGCCGGATCGGGATCCGTTCTACTGGAAACTGACGATGTGATTTCGCTTAGTGAATCTTCGTCTACGACTCTTGAGGATGAACGAAAATCAAGGTCGAAGGGGAGATGCGGGAAGGATCACAAGAATAAGGATTCACAAAGACAAGGACATAAAGATAAGAAGAAGGAAAAGAGGGACAAGGATCGGAAGAAAGGAAAAGGTTGTGGCCGAAAACACGGAAGGCGACGCAGGGGCTCTGACAACTATGATAGCGACCCTTCGTCGTCCGACAGTTCCTCTTCCTCGTCCGAGTCACCTTACGATGGATGGAGCTCAAGCTCCGACGAAGATTCCGGTGACAGCAGGGCATACAAACGCTCTGAACGGCGTAAACGGATCAAGAAGAGATCGAAAAAGTCCAGGAAATCTTGCCGAAACAGTCCCTAGAAGATTGTGATCCCACGCACACACATGTTTTTGGGAAAGGATACCTCGGAAGGAAATCCGAATAAGATTCATGGCCTTGGGGCCGGAGGGACTACACAGCAGGGACTTCACTGAGCTGATGGTAGCTGCAGTTGACGTCCCTGCTCTACCAGGTACGACTAACATTAATTTGGACACATATGAGACAGAGCTGCTAGTGGATTCTCTATCGTCGGCACTGTTGACGAACGGCAAGGAAAGTGGAAAGGGAGTCCATCTGGACACCAATTGGAAGAGACCGTCTTGTCACGCCTTGATGCGAGTCAAGAATGGGGAAGGTCTGCTGAAATTGGTTGGGGTTTGGACAAGGCCAAGACCAGCGCCTTTGGCAACATGTCGCTGTACATCGAGGCCTTCATGGCCAAGCGCAACTATCTGGATGACAAAATCGATGACTACTGCAATCAAGGGGCCGTAGTCCGCCTCGTTTACAAAACCTATGGCTACTACAACCAACTTCTTGGTAAGCTGAGGGAACTGCACTACAAGCATTTCCAACGGTGGGAAGGAAGTCCCGCTGCGGCTCTCCTGGATCACCATTCAGAAAAGCTCCTCTTCATTCGGTGTAACAGTGTCAACAGGACAGCACATCTTCTACGCTCCTACACCTACCTACGGGACGCTGCAGCGGACGGATTCAGTGCCAACGAAGTGATTGAGAGCTTGTGGGAACGAGTATCAGAGATCCACCAGGAAATAGAGTCTACCGACACCAATGACGGCTCGCAAAGCGGCGGGGGGAAATCACGCACCACCACTACGAACGATTGGGAACGATCCTGTCCCAAATGTGGCAGCAAGAAACTACACAATATCTTGCAGAAAGGTCACACGGCTTCAGCTTGTCCCTTATCAGAGCATTCTACTTCGAAAGCTCACAAGATGCGGACGAAGATCCTCCGTGTCCACACCAAAGACAAGTCCAAAGATGTCAATCAAATCATCAAGGACGTCTCTGAGACGTGGGACACCCCCCAAGAAGGGGAAGATTAAATCAAACCACTCATCCGGCCATCAAACATGCCCTCCTCTCCCTCCTTAAAGGGGTTCGCGATCCATCCCTCCCGTCCATCCGAATGGTACCAGGTCGACTGCGCAGCGCCTTCCGATCCCAGCAATGCATTGGCTACCAAGGGCTATTGGAAGGACGATTGTCCCGCCAATGGGCCCCGTTGCAGGAGGAATATCTGCAGTCGCGCGGGAGCCAACGCTCTCCGACCTTATGGGCCTCACGCCTCTTGCATCAGTTGATTTTGCTGGGCTTCCAGTTGTGGGAACATCGGAACTCGGTACAACACTCGGAGGACAATGTACAGTTACAAGAGCGCAGCCAACAGGTCAACGACGGGATACACAACCAGTTTGATATGGGTCCAACTGACCTACCTAAGGTTGTCCAACGCATGCTTTCGGTCAAGCGCCGGACAGTCTTGCACAAACCACTGGTAGATCGTGAGGAGTGGTTGAAGCTGGTGAGGATGGAACGCACGGCCTACCGCCGCGCTTTGGCGCCTCAACGCCGTATTCTTCATCGCTTCTTCCACCCTGCGGACCACTCCCCTTGAACAACGTTTCGTGGAAGCAACGCCCCGAAATCACCCCGCCACGTTGCGGGTAGAGTCCGAACCATCTGGTTCTGACTAGAGCAACTTCTGATTATCAGACGCCTCACATGGTTCAAACTTGTTGTTGACTCGCCGCTCCACAGTACTTGACCTTTACAGCCGACCATTCCACCGGCAATCGTATGCGATATCTAGCATTTAATCGATTAATGTTTCAGTTATTATTATTATTAAATCCAACCACTCAAACCTATGATCAAGGACACAGACTAGGTGCCTCGGCACCGGAGGTCAGGTGCTAATTGACGTTTGCAATCAAGGATGCAGGCTAGATGCCCTCGCACCGGAGGCCAGATACTAATTGATTGGACGGATACCTCCTACCTTTCCCTCGCCACAGATACCAATTGCCCCTTCCACAGATCCCGACCCTCAGCCCCTCAAAGTCCATTACCAATGTGTACCCCTACCATAACATCTAACTGTCTTTGTGATTCTTTCCAATTACGTGTTAGGTGAGCATATTCGTATCGATGGAATGCATGGAATGGCTACTGGAGTGGAGGTCCGGCAGGTAGTGACGGAAGAGATTGATATACGGAGTATGGGTATTATCGGAGGAGGATGTGAAGTGATGAGATATGCATGGCCAAAGATCTCAGTTTCATTCTCCATCCGCTATGAGGGAGACAACATTCCCCTCTGCTTCAGTGGACCACCCCTAGTGGGAATTGGGCCACATCGTTTGAGGCAAAATCTGTTGACAAACTATCCCAAGGACCTACTAGTCATCGAGAGAAGCCATTATTGCCGGCCAACAAAGACACCGCGCAAGGAAGAGTGGGAACTTTTGATTAGCGGAACACCACCTCTACAACGACCAAGGATTGTTATTGAATCCTGGCAAGCGGACGCGCAACTTTGGAAATTTGGACCTGTGAACAAAGCCTCCTGGAAACGATGGAAGACCTGGGTTATGGAACCCAAAGCAAGACAATTGACGCCACAACAGTTGGAGGCGCCATCAACCAAAGGAGACTTCTCGTCATTCGCACTGCTGCTGAACTTGGACCGCGCTGGACCTGGGATAGCCTGGATAGGGATCTGACGGTCATCCGACCAATGGGGAATCTTCTCACCCCTCCTGGGCTTGTCCATCGGGACCGATTTTGACACCACGATTCGGGACACGCCCCGGATTCACAGAGGGATCCCATGCCCCCTCGAATTGGGGCTTTGATCAAGACGGAGAAATGTATCCGCCGGCTCATGAAAGACAAGTTTGCAAGAGGATTGGAGATTCCAAAGACAGATGAAGAAGGGTTGACAGAACGATGCCTCCACCGGAGCACTTCAGTCTTTCATTGGGAATATCTGTCACATTCCCTACAAAACCTTTTCTCAAGTGCTACACAGGACCAAGGCACGCCTTCTTTGCAACCCTCCAACACTGCTTCCCATTCCAAGGACTCTCTTTCAATGGAAACCGGCCGACCTTTCACCGGGCGGAAAATGGTACCTCAAACGGGTGGCAAATCTGGAGGTAGCGGCATCTCACTATCCTACACCAGAGGCAGTCATTGTGGATGGTTTGAACCGACTGAGAATCCATAGAGCCAACTACACCGCAGACGGACCAGTGCCCAAATGGCTACAGCTTCTGTGGTGGGAGTTCCCGCAAGAGCACTGGGAGGAGTTACGAATGGGAGCTTGTCAAAACTTCGTGAAGGACCCCAGCCCTTGTATTCAACCCAACGCTCCGATGGATGCCACTATGGAAGAAGCGGCATCTGCCTTTGTGGACGAGTTCATGTCCTTAGGCGTGGTCCGAGACATTGATGAAGGTCGCCAGATTCTGACTAATGCACCATTGTTTGTGGTCCCCAAGGAAGGACAGGAAGGACAATGGCGGGTCATCGCGGACATGCTTCGTGGAGGCCAGAACGACTGCGTAGCTCAAGACCCGGTATACATGCCTCAAATCTCGCACATTATCGATGAGATGTACACTGGAGGGTATTCAGCGGTGGTGGACCTATCAAAGTTCTTTTACAACTTTCCTACTCACGCTGAGGACCGTCCCTATTTGGGACTACTTCACCCCAGAACGAAGGAACTGGTCGCCTACTACGGTTTGGCAATGGGAGCGGGAAACAGCCCAGCTCTTGCCTGTAAATTTGGAGCGGCCTTTGTACGGCTGCTTAAGGAACGATTCGATGTCTTGCAAGGAACGGGACGCGCGAACTGTTATTGGACCGGCTTCTCGGAGATTGGATTTGACCTGAAGCTTGGGTACGGCTTTATATTAACTGACGACACGGGAGGATCCGTACTCATTTGGGCCTGGGTCAATGACTTTCTGATCCACGGGCCCACCTACAAAAAAACAGCCCAAGCATTGGGGTTCTTCCTGGACACTGCGGTGGACTGCGGGTTTCTCTTCCACCCCAAGAAATTGATAACCCCGAGACAGGAAGTCAAATATTGCGGGTTTCTCTTTGACACTCAAGATGTGCCATGCATCTGCATCCCAGAGAACAAGAGAGAGCGGGCCCGGGGATCTGCGAATACCTTACCGGCGCTCCACATCACAAAGCATGGTCACGACTGAGCCTAGCAGTGGCTGCAGGTATCCTGGAATCTCTAACCGAAGCGACCCCCAGGAGACTAGGCCATACTCATCTGCGCCACTTCCATTCTTTGGTTCACCCACCTGATTTGGGAACAGGAGCACCCCCCTACTACACTACCACTCGATTGAGCACACACGTGCTTCATGAATTGACATGGTGGGTTTCATTCTTGAAAACTGGACGGGGACGATTTATCCGCGCCTCCCAGGCAGCTACTTTGGTTCCAACCTTCGGCGACGGTAGCGGCACGGGGACCGGTGGCACTATCCATCTGCCGGGATGCCCGTTTGAGATGTGGCGGGGGAAATGGGTCCCTCTAGCATACGAGTTCCCATCCGTATGGAAAGTTTTAGCCACTCTCAAGGAAACTTTACTCCAAATCAAAGAGAGCCCGAAGGCCGAGTCGGTTCGCCACACTACTGTGTTGTATTTTACGGACAACTCTGGAGTCTATTGGATCGCAACTACGGGTTCCTCACGGAGCCCTGGTCTCCACAAACTAATCGGTGAGATTCGTCTTCTTGAGCTTGAATTGGACTGCATGCTCCAAGTGGTCCACGTTCCGGGACTTGTTCTCATTTCCCAGGGCACTGATGGGTTGAGCCGGGGTGTCTGGATGACACCCTTTCATCCCAACATGTCAAGCTCCGAGCTCAACAAAGCCATCTTCGAACCCCTCCAATTTGACCGGACTCTGTTGTGGGAAGTCTTCTCAGAGCTTACGCACCCAACCTGTCCGTGGTCCTATGTTGATTGGAATCAGCGATGGACTGCTTCCCTTTGCATGGGGAAGACTACTGTGTGGTTTCCGACCCCTGAAATCGCACAACAACTCTTGTCATTTCTGTTGAACACCTGGATTGAGCAGTCCTCCACGTCCACCATCCTTTTTGTTCCTCGGCTCCTGGAGTCCAACTGGAGGAACCTTTCAAGAAATATCCAAGAGAAGACAGTTCTCTACCCACACAAGAGAACCTGTTAGAAGTAAGCGATCCACTGCCGCCTGCAATCTACCTGTTTCAATTGACTGCGATTTAGCTGTCCAGGTATTGTTGCCTTCTAAGTATATGAACTTACAGTATATAGAAGTATATAGATCAATC